ATTGTGGAGGATAGCTCCTTGGAAAACTTTTCAGAAAAAAGTCTCACAATAAATGTGAAGATTAGAAAACAGGTTCCATTATTATTGTTATTACTATTATTTTCTTGTTATTTTTATTACTAGCAGGGCTGGGTTCATGGGGAGCAGTGAACAGAGCCCACTACTGCTCACTACCCATTTGGCATGGTGTGGGTTTTTACCAGGTGTAACCTGGTGATCAAACTGCACCTATTTTGGTTGTGTTTTCCTGTGTGTAATTTAAAAAGGTATCATACTCCATAAAATGTATTTACAGTAATCTCTAGATAGTAGAGGATATACCTAATGGTCCTTCAGAAGAAGGGGAGTAAAATAGAAGATGAATTAAGTGAAAGAACAGGGGGCTTTAAATAAATAAATTTGTGTGAGGGAACTGATATCCTCTATTAGTTCAAAACCGTATGGTCTCTTTTCCAGCCATGGTATATTTAATTTAAAGAGCTTAGGTTAAAAACCATTCATACAGTTATTTGCAGAGCTAAAGCAAATATCCTTAAAAAAAGAATTTTAATTAAAACAATTTTTTTAGATCACCATAGCACTTCAGAATTTTAGCATCTTGAGTCTTCATTTTTCCTAAATTTCAAAGCTTCATACTGAGCATGGAAAAAGTTTGGAGCCCTATTTTTCAGGAGTATCTAGAAACTAGAATGACAGCTAGTCAAAGAATGACAGCCCAGTGCCTGAGAGTCCTGGTACTTAGAATCATAGATTCCTAGAGTATTCTGAGCTGGGAGGCATCCATGAGGACCATTTATTCCAAATCCTGCCTCCACATAGAGCAACCTAAAAGTTAAAACACATAATAAAATATAAACCATGAAGCATCATTCAAACACATTTTGAACACCAGCTGGAGCCTTGGGACCATGACCAAGCTCTTCAAGAGCTTGTTACAGTCTCTGACCACGCTCTTAGTGAAGAACGTTTTGGTAATATCCACTCTAAATTTCCCCTTCTGTAGCTTTAATACATTCCATCACTGGACACCAGAAAGAAGAAGTCAGTGCCTCCCTCTCCACTCCCTGTTATGAGGAGGTTGTAGACAGCAATGAGATCTCTCTGCACCCTCCTCTTCTCTGAGCTGAATAAACAAAAAATCCTCATCTGCTTCTCATAAGTCATGCTCTCTAGTCCCTTTGGCATCCCATGCTGTCCAAAACAGTGAAGAGTACTTGAGGCAAGGCTGAGCCTAGTGAGACAGTCTCTTCTTTCCCCCTGCTAAGTATCCTGTGCTTGACACAACCCAGGGTACCACATTTCCTGCTGATCTCGAAGGCATGCTGTTCACTCCTTTGAACTGACAATCAACCACTTGATTGCTGTGGGATTTCAGGCACTTTAATACTTGTCTGGATATCCAAGGATGTGAAGAAAGCCCTTGGCCTCAGCCTCAGCCTCTCCTTGTTTCTGGGGGGCTAGGGTGGTCATATGGCTTATCCTGTCCCATGCACCTTCAAGTGCCTGTCACTGTCCAGGATGAATCAGGACCAAGAGGAAAAAGGTTTGGTACATAGGAATAAGAGACAGCCCTGACAACGAAGGAACCATTAAAACTGACATCAGATCTTCTGGAAGAGAACAAGACTCATCAAGTTATCCTGCATCTTGAATCTTAGAGTGTAACCATCATCCCTGTCTAGAGTGCTGTCAGCCCACTGTGCTGACAGTGGGCGGAAACCAAGCTCCTACTGAATTAATTTCGTTTTGGATTAGCTCCTTAAAAGGCATTTCCAGTTCTAAATTGTAAAAAGTGAATGTATGGTAATACATTAAGGTCTTTAAGCACAAATGTTTGAATCTTTTGTGGATAGCTCTTAGGTTAATAATCACATTCCCCTGTACTACAAACTTCTTATGTAAGTAACGTGTGGGGAGTTAGACTGTCATCAACATCTGTAAGGTGTGTAAAACTCTGAATGTCACTCTCCTGCATTTCCATCTGTAAAATGGCTTTGTCTGCACCTTTTCTAGAAGTGTGTTCATTCACAGATTAGAGTCTAACCATATAATGCTTCTTTGCCTTGTATTCAGAAGATTGTCTTTGTGGAGGATCTTCAGTGGTTAATTTCTGAAATTATTAGTTACATGGAAAATATTTTAGAGTGCAATGCAGAATCATAGTTAGGACTTCTTGTTCAAAAAACTAAAAAGAAATATGTCAGTGATTCTTACAGATTGAAAAATACTCATTTGGATCTATAGCAGCATTTAGTAAACATTTATTGTTGTGCTGTGAGTACATATAAAGATGCCAAAGGCAGTCTCACATACTTTTTCCTACAAGCTATTAACATAAAAATGTGTCTTATTCATTAATCAAATTTGTGTAGTAGAAGTTTTCATCTTTAGAGAACGACACAATGGGGCAAGGAGAAGTCAAGTGATTTATTTACAGATTTGCTGTGGGCAACTGAAACATAGAATTTGAAAATGTATAATACCATAGTTACCCATCTATGGTTCTAGATGCAAAAATCCACCACAGAAAACTAAAGCTTAGTACTTTGGGAAAAATACCTGTCTGAACACATTCATTTACTGAATGTATCTATGGCTGAACATGCCAATATTACTTTATCGTAAAAAAACATGGTATTTAAAATGTAGGAAAGAAAACATACTGAAATAGTTTTCTGCAAAGGGAATAAAAAAGATTTTGAACTGTTATTCCATTTCCCAGTTTTCAAAGGTTCTACATTAAATGAAAAACCTCACTCAGTATCTCCTGCATTTGCCAGTTTCTGATGTTAATTATCTTTTGTTTGCCCTTGATAATCCTGAGGTTGGTATGCAGATAATGAAGCCTGCAGATTCATCTCAAAGTGTAAAAAACAATGGCATTGTCAATTCTGCATCACAACACTTTATAAATTATGAATGTTATCCACATTAAGGAGAATGCTAGACTTTTAAAATTACTTCCATGAATAGATTAAATTACAAGTATTATTACATTTCATTTTATTAAGTGCATCTTAGTAGTTATTAGGGCAAATGAACATGTTCTCTCAATTACATAATAACATTAGAACTAAGAATTATGCATTGACACTCCCAAATGCATAATGTGGCATTGTATATTAATCATCCCAAACAATATTTTAGGTTTATATAAAGACAATTATTACCTATTGAAAAATAACCATCTTATTGATTTATTGCAATTCAGCTGAAGGAATTGTTTTCTATATAAAAGCTTTGATTCTTTTCTGGATAGTTTAATAATTTCTAGCTCTTTCTTTTTTTCTAGAAAAAAAAAGTAGGGGTTTTTTAATTACTTTCTTTTATAAATCTAATTACAATAAGACAAAGTTTATAACATATTTCATTTTTAAATATTCTGTACAAGACAGAGTAGCACACATTCAGTATACACCAATCAAGTTCAGAGAATATTTGTTAATTTTAGGTTTTACCTTTTTGTAAATTCCAATTATTTACATGATGTGGGTTCTAAGCTACATTTTAATTTTCTCAAATTATAGAGGTCAGACATGCAGATTATCAGGCTGCCTTTTATTTAAAGGAAAAACTTTAATGTAAATAGATTAATATTTTTTAGGGCATTGCCTAAAAAGAATAAGAAAAGCACCTGACACTATCACACTGACCTGAGTGGCAACACTTGAACTCACTGAAGTCAGAGCAGGATTGAGTTTTTGCACTGACATGTGCAGTAGCCAGGCATTTCAGACACCTGCAGAGCAATTGACAGCACCAATACTTCCAGATACTTTTGCAGTATCCAGTTTTTATTTGGCTGTGATATATGCATTGATTGCAATCCTAGTAAATTAATTTCCTTTGTATGTTGTCTAGATAACTGTGTCTTATTGTTTTCAGTATTTCTAATACTTTGCGTTAATTAGATTTGGCAGTGCACATACTGATGTACTGTTATTTACTTTAACATAACTAGCAAATTTTTCAGGATGATTACTTAAGGGATAATAATTCAATCATTAAAAAGCAATTTTTGCAGTGTCAGCATTGTTTTCTTTAGAGAAGGAAAAGCTTGTTCTCATTTGTTGTATTTTTCTATTTTGATATCAATTTGAGTTTACACATGCTCTCAATATCATTGCCAGATTTTGCCACTTTACAAAACATTGGTACATGCTGGACCAATATTTCAGGGGACAGTTACTGACTCATCAGTAAAGTAACAAAAATAAATAAAATACTACTGTGGCATAATTCATACCAGGTACTAATTATATTTAATAAATCAGCTTTGTAAGTGAATTCAAATCAATATATTTGTTGGTCTATATATTAAAATGCTAGCACATGCCTTCTTTATCATATGAGTCTTGAACACACTGTATGATTTGCTTGATTCAGCAAGAATAGCATATAAATGTGCAATATTACATACTCCTAGGGAATATTAAAAAGTATATTTTAATTTGATATATTTTTGCATGGAAATTCTGTCTCAGAATTTAAATGTCCTTTGTGCTGCTTAAAAACTTTTTCCTCTCATATTCTGCTCTTATGCTTCCTACCAGCTGGGGTAGAATTTATGAATATAACCCACAGAAAGCCTGTAGAAATGTCTCTAACAGTGAACATGTAGAATCAGCAAATGTTCTAATTGGTCACTTCGTGGGAGTAAGTTGTCACTGTAATTAAACATTGTTTATATTAACAATGTATTGGGCAACATGAAATGACTAGGTAATCCTTCTGGCCTAATGTTATTAACTAAACAAAGTAAGTTAGACTCTTTATCTTTGTTACATTGGATTAAAAATGACTGGAACTAACACATGTGCAGTTGACAAAATAACTAGCCTTCTTAGTTCTAATTAGTTCTCAATTAAATTGTATCAGCAGCGGTGTCAGACTTACAGCTACATTAAACTGTCTTTGAATCTGTCTGATTCCTTTAGTTCTCCCTTGTGCCAGTAAGGAAGTTTCAGACATGCAAGTGTTAACAGCTGCTTTGAAATTACTCCTATTTAAGAAGAAAAATCATATTACTTTCTTAATCTTTCTAATTCTATTCTCATAAGATGGTCTTGGATTTGTTCCTTTAGCACAGGCTCTTTAGTGCAGTCCTGATTTCTGTATTAATGAATTGAGAAGATGACATCAGGCTCTTAGGTAAGTGCTATAAACTCAGTCATATGATTTTTATAATAAGATATCATGTATAAGAAATCCCCAATATTTTTTTCCTTTCTTGCATCGATGTTTCTTTGAAAAGTAATAGTTGGATGTTATGCAGGTGGCACACAAAAAAAACATGTAGTAGTTTGTAATTTACCTTTTGATCATCACAAGAAAAATTTCTACTGGGAAATGAAAGCCAAACATAATTCACTAAAATTACACTGAATGCCCTCTAATCAATACAGATAAATCTAGAGTTTGTTGTTAAATCGATCCTCTCCTTTATAGAGATATACTGTCTTGATTGTTTTAGGGATAATTATTTCACAGGGAATTTTTACAATGATTAGTAGAAACGAGACAACAGTAAACTTGACTCGGAGCCATTGAATTACTGTGCTGCAGAGTGCATTTGTCTCTTCTAGTTTGAAGCTTACTGATATCAATACTGATTTATATTATTTCATGTGATGATGTTTTCCTGAGAGAAATGAAGTGAAGTTGATTTCATTTCAGAAATGAACAGCCTCTGTGTTTGTTTTTCTTTTATAAAATTGTCAGCTCTTGCCAATATAAATACTCACTGATGCAGACTTTCCCTTCCTGCTTTTATCACTTAGGCTGATTCCTTGACATACATCATACTGAAAAAGTCCAGATAAACTTTGGAGAAATCAAAAAAAAATGTTTAGACTGGAAAGACAAAGGTTGAACTAAAGGATTACTTAAAATGGTGTTACTGAACTATTTCTATACATATGAAAATGCAATTTAAATATCAAGGCTTTAAGAATTCAGAAGTTTTCTGCTTCAGTCTCCATTTGTAAATGAAGATCCTTGTAAGTCTGCATGATTTTAACAGCTCACATACCATAAGTCAATACAATATTTAGAAAGATAAAGAAAGAGGGGAAAGGAATAGACAGAGGGATGAGTTTCTGTGGATGAAGTAGATGTAATTGCTTGCAGTAGTCTATCGAAGCGAAATTGAATTGTGATACGTTACTCAGAAAAAATAGACTTATGTAGCATTTTGATTAACATAATAAAGTACATATGCTATGTATGAATGAATAAAGGATAGTAAGCTTAAAGCTTGAACTTTTGCATAATGTATTCTGTCATCTAAACTTTTATTAGTAAGAATATGGTGAATTATATAATTCAGAGAACATCCCAACAAGAGTGTCTTTTAATGCAAGCAATCTAATTGGCAATAGTTACAAGTCTGTGCAAAATGAAATAATTCTCTAATGAATAACACTATAAAAAAAGTGTTTGTTTTTTCCCTTAAATAGTCATTAAATTTAAATGTCTAATGCAAGGAATTTCTTTAATTTAACATTAATTTTGATAGTATGTGTTTTTAAATGACTGCTTAATATTAATTCTATCACCTTCTCAAGGAACAAGGAAATAAAATTTTTAGTAATTATAAGAGGAAAGCATATTCTGTAATTGGTTATTAGCTAAATGTTACAAAAGTAGAAATCTAGTTCAAATGATCATTTCAGAAATGTATAATTTACAGCACTTATTATGTAGCTTTCACTAGAAAACTGTACAAATACACTCAAACTGTTCTGAGAAACAGGAAAGAAACATTTATTGAAATATACTGAATGCTACATTCTTAAAATAAGAAACTCCAGCTGTCTTCTCTTAGATATCTGTTATATAT